ACATTTTTTTAGCAGTGCTTGCTACAAAGACCAAACCTCTACATTCTTCCACCCAGCAAAGGCCCTTTGCTCACAGCTATGGCTTTTTGTGAATGGGTTTAAACCTCCTGATAGACTGCTAGAGACTCTCCCTCACCAGCAGGCTGTTAAAATATTGACAGCCAAGGCATTCCTATAACCTGCTTCTATAGTTTCATGGTTTTTACAGACCCCATCCCCATCAGCCCCCAGTCACCTTAGAGCAATCTCTAGCGCATGCAGTGAGGTCCTAAAACTTAAAAAATAAGCCAGTCACTGACAGGAGAGCAGAGGGGAATGAGACTGGCTCCGGTCATCTTCAGGTGACTGAGCCACTTCCCACCAGCTTTACAAAGGCACTTGTGATTTCCTCTTGTCTATATTTTTGGCCTAGACTTTGTTAGGGTGATGGATGAAGAAGAAAGGCCATCCCCCTCGTGAGGTCAATCCAATAGACTGGGACCTCACCAGTCATGGAGAAACTGACAGATCTGCCCTGTAGCTGCCTGCTGAGTTCCACCCCATTTCAAATTTCTCCTAGATGAACAGCTGAACTGGAGGGAGGGTGATGTGGGTGGCTGGGAAGAAGTTTCAAGCCCCTTTCTGGTGAGCTTTGAGGTATTCAAGGCTGGGAAATAATATCCCACTGCCTCCGGGGGCAAAGGACTTCAGTGTAGCACCTAGTCCTGAGGTCTTCCAAGTTCCTTGGTAGATTTCTGTCTTGAACCTGGAACCATTGCCCTCAGGTTCACACTTCTCAGCCCCTAGTTCCCCTCTTGAGGAGTCAGCTTCTTGGAGACATTTATGAAACCCTCACCAAAACGACATTGGTCGTTGGAGAAAGCTTTCCTTCATCAGGGAGTCTATTTACCTCCTTGACAGAACCAGACAGAGTGCACAGATGAAATCTGTGCCCAGGGTTACACAGACAGGCTCCTGCAGGAGCCGATTTACCTCAATGTCTTATTTATTTACTGATTGATTAATTGAATGATCAATTGATTGACTGGCTGATTGGCTGATGGACAGGGCATCCCAGGCTAGCTTTGGACTTGCTCACTATGTAGCAACCTTGAACTTGTGATCCTCCTGCCTCCATTTCCCAGATTTGGGATTCCAGGCTGGTGTCTGACTTGTTTTTTCCGTGGGGGAGGGGGGGGGATCAACCTCAGGGCCTTGTGTGTGCTAGACAAGCGTTCTACCAATTGAGCTATATCCTCAGCCTCCTGAGATGCTGGCTGTTGACAAGGCAGTAGACAATGGCTTATATATACACTGGAGCAGAAGAAACTTAAGGGTGGGGGTGAAGGTGGGGACTCAGGGTGACACAAAACCTTAAACTGAAAATGCAGACCTTCCAAAGACTGTTTTTCCAATCGGAGGGGAAAGTGTGCATGCGTGCGTGTGTGCGTGCATGTGTGTGTGTGTGTGTGTGTGTGTGTGTGTGTGTAATCAATATGGCCCAGACAACCCTTCACAAAGGGGCTCCAGGCGGCGCCTCCGCGTCACAGCCTCCTCCCCACCGCCAGCGGCGAATTAATTGAGCCCGAGCCCTGAAAGAAGGGGCCAAGAAGCTTCCAGTTAATTAGTCAAGAAATGAATGAAGCCCCAGCGGCCTGGCCAGGACTCCTAGGGCGCAGGTTTTGCGCAAACCGAGTGGGTCAATGGGTCGGTGGGGCGCTCCTCCTGGGCGGGGTGGGGCGCGACGAGAAGCAGGGCTTGGACGCCTAGCCATCCGGCGCCTGGCGCCCTGCGCGGCGCTCCTCTGTCCGTCTGTCTGTTTCGGTCTGTGTCTCTTTTTGCTTTTTTCGCCCTCTGTGAACTTGTCTATCGTCAGCTCTCAGGGGTTCTTCAGATCCCCTGACTTGATCGTGATTTCCTTCCCTCCTCTAGGCTTCCCTTTCCAAAGTCTTCTCTCTGAATCCCGGCCTCAGCCTGGTGATATCTGGGAGCCCCTAGCAGGGGAGTCTCTAACTTAGGGAGACCCGTTGGAAACGAACCCCAGGTTTGGAGGCCGGAGCCCGCTGTGTGCCCCTGGATAGGGCTCTTTCTCGGGGGTGGGGGGGATCTTGGATACCTGCCCCGTGGTGCAGTTCAGTGGACCCTCTGAAACAGGAGGGATGTTGAAAAAGCTTGGTCACAGTGGCTTGTGTTCTTCCTCCTTAAGGATGTACGTAGAATTAAGCCCAACCTCCCTGTCCACTGGGTTCCCAGGGTACAGTCCCCTCAAGCAACACCTTCAAGCACTCCCCTTCAATCAAAGGGAGGAACATCAGGCGTTTTTTTTGTTTTGTTTTGTTTTGTTTTTGTTTTCTTAAACAGCTCTGCTGGGGAGAAGGGGGGGAGACGACGGACAGGACACAAGCCCTTCTGTACCAGGTGCTCGCTGCACTCAGAGAGATGTAAGGTTGTTTTCTTGAAGTCGCTCAGCAAAAGAGAGGAAAGGCTGAGAGTTCAACCACTTGGCTTAGCTTTGCTTTAGCCGGTAAGGACTTAAGGGACCAGTATCCCCAAGTCTGATGCCAGATGTTTATGGACAAGCAGAGGTGGACCACGAACTGCCTTGTCTCCTTCAGCTAAGGATGCAGTCTCTCTGCCTCCCCACCGATTTCCTCTAGGCTCTTTCTCTCAGGGAATTGTCTTTTGAAAGCTCCCTCCCTGGGGGTTTGGTGGCTATCCTCTCACACTGGACTGCAACCCTGCTCTCTGACTGCAGCCTGAACCTGATACTTCCTTCTTTTGCCTGCTTCTCCCACAGAAGCTTGGCTCAAGGCTCCAGGGTGCTAGGTTTAGCTTCCCAGCTGGTTCTCCTCTCTGGAAGGAGGCTCAGGGCCGAGGTCTCTACTCCCCGCATCCGGCCCCACCTCTGGCCCTACCTGGCCAGGACTCTAAGACTAGACAAACTTGCTGTGTGCTTACAAAGCCCACTGCTTTGGACCTCAGTTTCCCTGCTCCTTCAGAAGATGCAATGGATGGGTAAATGGGCTGGCTGGTGGCAGGACTGCACTTAGAGTGTGTCCTCCACACAATGGACTAGAGCCTCCATTGGCTGCCTCCCAGAATCCCCCACTTGCTTCTCAGTGCTCTCCCTCTCACATCCACATCCACACTGGGCACCTCTCCCTTTGCTTGCCTGGAATGGAGCTCACCAAATTCCATACTTCTAGTATCACCAAGTGGGACCCACAACTTGATGGCCAACAGCTAGCAGCCCCTCCAGGGCACTATCAACTGGTACACACTCCCCAGTAAGCAGGGCTTGCTCTGTGTGCATGTGGGTTCCACTATGAGCTATGCATTTGTAGACCCAACCAGAAGGGTCCAACACAATTCTGTCATATTTCTTCCTGAAAGTGGAGCCTAGAACCCAGGATCTTTGAATGAGTTTATTAACCTCTCTCTAAACCTCAGTTGCCGCTGAAGAGTGGAAGCCAGTAGGCTGTGCCAGATCATCACAGGAAGAAATTTCGAAGATCACTTGTGTACACTACTTAGCCTAACTTGGGGCATATAGTGCTCAGTAATCAAGTATTGGGGCTTTTTTTAGGGTTTCATGTTTTCCAGGCTGGTCTGGAGCTCAATTTGTGCCAGAGGATGACCTTGAGCTCCTGATCTTCCTCCTTTCACCTCCCAAGTGTTGAGATTAGGGGCATGAACCAGCAAGCCCTATTTATGTGGTGCTGGGAGTTGGAACCAGGGTTTCCTGAGTATGACTAGGCAGGCAGTCTACCAACTGAGCTACATCCTGAGTATGACTAGGCAGGCAGTCTACCAACTGAGCTACATCCCCAGTCCTTGGGCATGTTAACCAACCACAAGTGTTTTGGACTTTCCCTTCCTTCCTTCCTTCCTTCCTTCCTTCCTTCCTTCCTTCCTTCCTTCCTTCCTTCCTT